TGTCTGGGCTTGGAGCCCCGAGGCAGTGGCGGCGGCGGCGGCGGCGGCGGCACCATGTTTCTTCACTCAGTCAACCTCAGCAACCTGGCGTTTTATGTCTTTATGGTCTTCATAGCGACCTTGGGGTTGTGGGATGTCTTCTTCGGCTTCGAGGAGAACAAGTGCAGCATGAGCTACATGTTTGAGTACCCGGAGTATCAGGTAGGGTTCCGCCCTCTTCTCACCTGGGCGCTCCCCTAGTGCCTGGACCTTCTGTGGGTTCTTCCTGCCGTGGCTCTCCGCGCTCTTGGGCCCCCTTATTCCAGCCTCGCCTCTGGTTTCTCCGCCCCGGGGGACTCTGCATCCCCCACTGCCCCCTCGCTTGCTCTTTGTGTCTTCTCCTCACGGTGGAGTGTTTGATAGATGATTTCCCGAGCATCCTCTCCGTCCCTTTCCAGTTCCTCCGCTGTCCTTCCGCCCCCTCCCCGGCCCCAAATCCTGGGCACCGGCCTAGCCTCCCTCATCCCCAGAGAGGCAGCCTCAGCCCTTCTTCCTAAACCCAACCCCATTCGCCTCGCGTTCCGGCCTTAACAGGTGCCCCTGGACCCTCCTTTGCTTCCCACGCGCCCGAATTCTTCCACTCACACCCAGTGATTTTCACGTCAGATTCGCTTTTCTGGAAAGGGACCGAGCGTCTGCAGAGTGTGTTTTGGCTGGATAGTTCCCAAGACTGCTTTAGAGCCTCCGAGTGAAAGGGTAACCTGATGAGTAATTAAGTGAAACCTGTTTAGGTTCCTTCCTCTAAAGAATTTGCGGGTCGTCCTGTTTTGTAGGTTATGGGTCCGTGAGTGTGTGTACATGCCCGTGTCTGTGCGTGTCGCCAAACAGCGGGCCTCTTACCAGGTGCATACAAAATTTATTTCAGGGTCTTATTGTGGTTTTCTCACGGTGTTGGCAAATTAAGAGAGAACTGGCTCTTCTCTCTCCCCGCTCCCACCTCTTCCATTCCATTTTGAATGTTTTCAATCAGTTTCTTCATTAGTTCAGCATAGTAGAATCTAGAATTTCATTCATGACCATCTATAAAAAGAGATGGTGACAAATTAAACAACTGTCCAAAGAAATTTCTCCTGAATGATTTTTTTTTGTATTTCTAAATGCGTCTCTTAATTGTGAAATAGCTATTATAATGGTAACTCCCTACCATAAAATGCATGTGTACTGTAATATATATTGGTAAAGTTCAATTTTAATATACTTTTAAAACCATAGCAGATTTTTTTCTTTAGGGTGAAGGATGTAAGTCAGGATTGCTTCTGTGTACAGGTCATTATGGAGGGAGCATATTATTTGATTACGTTGCTATTATTTAGATCATAAAACTACTTAAGGTTTAAATTGCTGAAGAGCATCCTTTCCCATGGGCAAAATTCTAGTAAATTTAGATTTCTTTTGTTTTCAGATCCTTATTTTGGCTTTTTATCAATGGTTGTAAGGGAGTGGAAACATTTGATTTCAGATGCTATTGAAGGAGAAGATTTTAACATGATGTTGTCTTTGTTAATTTCTATGCAGATATGCTGGAGTATGCTGCTTTATGTTTACCAGAGGCTATATAGTTAAATACACGGGCTTTTAATTTAGTTCTTTTTTTAAACTGAAAATGGAGTTATTATAATCCCCTTTATTTTCTATGATTTAATAATTAGGAAATTCCCAATAGATTGAAGTAGGTCACTTTAGTTTTGTACTGCATTGTAGAGTTTGGTTAAAATAAAGTCATTTTGGAACAATACAATACTAATTTCCATTTATTTTTAGATTGCCCACAGTTATTGAAGCTATTTTAATATTTGCAGTAGTAGAAATTGCTTTCCTTAGTGTTTGGGAACAAAGCATACGTACCTCACAGATGCATTTCCTGCCTCATAAAATCGACTGGAAAGACAGAGAATTAGTGTGGCTAATGCAAAAGAGCTATTTGGCTTTTTGTTATTGTTCTTGAGTAGTCAGTATTTAGTTATTTTGGTTCAAGTTGCCTTTTTGGGGTTTACACTTCTATTAATAATTTGTTAGTACAGTAATAATTACAGTGGCAGAAGTTTTTGATCCACACTTTTAGCAGATTTCATTTTTATAATGTAAGAAACTGTGTTAATTCACTACAATATTTATATTTCACTCTTAGCCCCTTTATTTTACACACTAGGTTGTATTCCACAAATTCAGTTAAAACCTGCCTATAGAAATGAGTCAGTTTGAATGTAGTTAGTGAGATTTCTGGATAAATGAGATCATTTTGTTAAGGACCAAATGGTTTTCATGAATAAAAATGTTCTAAAGATATTTTATGTATTGTATACTCTAAATTACATATTATAGTAGCTCTCTAAGTGTTACCAGTTGATTTTGAGCATGTTGGGATGTCCTAGTCTTTGGATTTTCTTCTCTTTCTTGGTGCTTTTCTTTTCTTTTACTGCTCGTTTGCATCCTTTTTAGCCAGCCAGCCAGAAGAGAAAATGGAAGGGTAGAGGAAAAACCCTTATCCAACTTTAGTCTCCATTTTTAAGAAAAAGGTAGGGCAGGAATTTGGAACTCTTTGCAAAAATAATGTTTTGAATTTAAAATTTATTATCTGTTTTCTCTACCTCTGATTTTCCTAGATTCACTTATTCAGAGTTAACTGAACATCTCATGAACATATTCAAGCCTGCTAGGCAGAATACATACGATCCTTTAAAGCTTCCCTTATTATGACATCAAGGCAAAACTTATTTGGCAGCAAATGATTTTAGGCAAATTGTAGAATTTGAGAAGAAATGTCTGACTTGTTTTCTCTCATATAGTAATTTGGCTATCTTCACATGTGTTACCTAATGGTTGTTATCTGAAAGGAAAAGTTGATGTTGCAAATATGAATCATACATTTTGTTATTAAGCGTGGTATTCATTTAGCAAGTCATTTATTGAATGACAAGTCTGTGCTAGATCTGCGTAGATACTCGGTGTGGGTGAGAGGGAATTAGAAAGATAAGCGTTAGCATTTGGAAGTGTGCCAGAATTTTTGTCTTTTGAAAGGAGTTTAGGTTAGAGATGAGAAGGACCTGTACTAATGCAGAATCAAAGAAGGATGGACAGCAGGGGCAGGATTGTAAAGATAATATTTAAGGGTAAAGGTTATTGATCAATTGATCTTAATTGAAATTCTTTTTGGGGGTGGAAGATTTGCTCACTGAAAATAATCTATACAAAATAATCAATTTATGTTAGAGTCCTGCTGCTAAAAATGTTTTCATTTTAAATCCCTTGACCCTCTTCTCTTTCTCATCAGAATCCTTTTTTGTATGCCTACACCCTTCCTGTATTCCTTTCACTCACTTCTAACTTAAACTCAGTCTGGAAATGCAGTTTTGCCATTTGCCTACAACTCCCACCATTCTTGCCTCCTCTCTCTCTCTTTTTTGGTTCTTCCTCTTTTTTCCATTTTTATACTTTTTTCTACTGTATGCACTCATATTTTAAAAAATGTTTTTTCTCACTACAAAATTGCTTTTGTATGTTATGAAATATATCAAAAATATTCTTTTGCTTTTCTCTGTATCCAGAGAATTAAATATTTATTTTTAGATATATTTGATAGTTTACCTTTCTTCTGAGTTAATTTTCAATGAGTTCAAACTTTGTTTAGCTACTATAGTAAAAAGAATAATGATCTAATATGCATGTACTGTTTGTTACATCAAATGGTGTACTAAATTGGGAGGAGTTAAACTGTTTCTTTGTTCTTTTATGTTTTCTTTTTGCTTAATTTGTACCTAAAGAAGTGAAATATTGTGTCATTTTCATTTTTGCTTGTATACTTTGCATATGATCAACATTGGGACTAACTTGAGTTGACATACATATACACATATAAAGTAAATAGTGAGGTTAATGCTAGTATTTCTGTATTTTGAGTATTTGAGGAGATAATTGAAATTGGTAGTGTCTTAAACAATAAGCTCACAGTCTCTACAGATGATTCCATGGTGTTTTTGGCATACACTATTTATGGTAATATCCTGCAAGGGATATTCAGGAATGTGCATGAATGATTAGAATTCTGTTTTTTTAGAACAGTGAGGTTTTCTGTAGTCATTAACAACATTTACAGTTTTTTAATTCATTCAGTGAAGTTTTTTATCAAGCACATACTACATGTACAGTACTACTAGATCATTAATTTATTGATGTCTACTTAAAATCTACTGCGCAATATAATTGCTTTCATTTTTAATAGATTCTGTCCTTTAAAAAAAAAAAGGAACAAAAGAGCTTATGCTTTGCTACTGCTTTTATAGATGCCTACCTTTTGGGGAAATGTTAAGACCTAATATATATTATTTGGAGAGAAATTTAGTCAACTACTGGCTCATTTGGTATACAATAATATGAATTGCAGAGTAGTTTAAGGCTTGCTGACAGACCATGCACCTGGTCCATGAAAACTGAAACAGATGCTAATTCACTAGAATGTTTATGGTAAGAAGACTGTACATGCCTTGACCAAGACATGGCTGTAAGGTTCAGATTAATTTGTTAAGCACATTGTAGGTCAAAGCATGTTAAGTTGAGAGGTCAGAAAGCTGCATTATAAAATGAACCTACTATCCTCTGAGGCTGTAACAGCTGAGATATATAGTTGGGCCCGAGTAAAAGGAAAGACATTACAAAACAGTTTAAAATGGCAAAAAGAATTGATTTGAGAATGGAAAGCTTTTATCATTTCTAGTAATTGATACTGATACTAAATTAAATACATTTCCAATTATGTTAACATGTAACTTGCTGACATATACCAATGTTTTTCTGCTTTTGTCAGTGGCTATTTTGAGTAATTTGTATTTGTTAGGATTTCAGGTAGTCCTATTTTATGCTTTCCTGAAGACTACATGGTTCAAAATTCACATAATTCAAGACTAATTCTCTATATGAATAAGTTATGAGTCAAACTTGTTTTGTGAATTAAGTGTGGTTTTATCATTAGTAATATTTTTATATTGCACTATTTCAAATTTATATGATTCAGAGCTGCATACAGTGAGGCTGAATTATATTAATAAAACTGATTAAAGTGAAATCTCTTTTTTTTCCTGTAGAAAATAGAACTTCCAAAGAAGCTGGCAAAACGCTATCCAGCCTATGAGTTATATCTTTACGGAGAAGGATCCTATGCTGAAGAACACAAAATTCTCCCTTTGACGGGTATTCCAGTTCTCTTTCTTCCTGGTAATGCTGGAAGTTATAAGCAAGGTAAGTCTTAGAAGTAAATTTTGAATGCTATGAAATTCATTTCAAAAATTTGAATCGTATGCATACTCAGCGAATTAAATGAAGTGAATGAAATGCATACTCTGTGGTCAGTACTGTGTTAGGCTTACTGGGAGACCTGAATGTATGACATTTTCTCTGAGAGAAAGTATATGTGAGAAGTACGTGGAAAAGAAGAGATGATTGCTTTGCAAAGAGTGAGAAGGAGAAAAAGAATAAGATGGAGTGTGCTAAGTAAATGATATAGGAATCAGCAGAGGAAAGAGGTTTATGCTGGAAATAGAGGATAAAGAGAAAAGAACCTGAAGCATTGATTAGGGTAGTAAATCAGTGGCTTATGTCATGCTGAAGACAGGAGATTGGTTTCTTTCCTTTGGAGCTACGTAAGTTAGAGATACTTAGAAATACTGAGGGAAACCCAGAAAGGTAAGGGTACAGAAGTTATATATACAGATTCCAAATTGAATGTTGGCTTGGAGATATAGCAGTTATTTCTGGCATAACAGCCAAGTTATCTGGAAGTGATTTAGTTTTCAACTAAAATGTGCTTTTTTGGTTATTAAATGGACTAAAATTGTTATGTAATGAGACTAGAATTGTTTCAACGTGTAGTATAATTACTTACATGTTTGTTTATCCATCTAGTAAATATTTATGAGATACCTACCATGACCCAGGCGGTATTCTAGGTGTTAGGGATCCAAAGCAGACCAAGACAGATAAAGTGCCTCTCTCATCAAAATTATATTCTTGTTGGAAAGACAGCTGTCAAACAAATATGTCAGTAATGTTAAAAGCTGGAAAGAAAAATAAAACAGAATAAGGGGATAGAGGATATGCAGGGTCAGAAGGTGGCTAGTGTAGGTGAGATGGTCAGAAAAGACCACGGAGAAGAAGTAACGTTTGAGCAGAGGGGTGATTGTAGCAAGGGATTGCATATGACACTTTGGGGGAAGGCCCTGGGGCAAGAACATATTTCGTGCCATTCAAGGCCACTGTGACTAGAGAAAGTGAAATGAGATGAGAATGGAAAAATAGCTACAGGATATATCATATAAGCTATGGAAAAGACTTTGAATTTTGATCTAAGTGTGATGGGAAACTGTTGGAGGGTTTTGGTTAATAAATGATATAATTTGATTGTTAATTTATATAAAATCATATAGTTTAATTATTTTTGTATTTGAAATATTACACATGTACAGAGAAATACATAGAATATAGATGTTCAGTTAAAAGTTATTATAAAGTGAACACCTATGGAACCAAAAGCCAGGTCAGGAAGAGGAAGATTGCCAGTATTCTGGAAACCTTTTGTATGCCCCTTCATGATTAAAACACCCTTCTCAATCCTGACTTCAAGGTAGTAATTTCCTTAATTTTCTTTATAGTTTTGGTATTGAAGTATGCATCCCCAATACAATCTATTTATTTGGGGCTCTTTTTAAACTTTGTAATATAAAAATAATCATTCAGTCTGTATTCTTTTGTATCTGGCTTTTTCTACTCAGTATTGTCTTTAAAATTCATCCAAGTCATGTGAGCTGTTATTTGTTCATTTTCCTTATTCTATCTTATTCTGTTGTATGACTGTACCATAGTCTATCCATTCTGTCTTTTGTCATTTGGGTTGTATACATTTATTGGCAGTTACAAATAATGAATATTATTCTATATATATCTTGCAGCATGTAAGCCCATTTTTCTTTAAGAAGTATAGCTAAGAGTGTAATTCCATGTTACAAGTTATGGTATTCTTTTATCTTTACTGATTGTGCTGACTTATATTACCACAAGCAGTACATTATACTTCCCTTTGTCATTGTCCTTGACAACATTGAAATTGTCAGATTTAAAAATTTTATCCATTCTGGCAGGTGTGATTTACTCTTAAAAAATGACCAACGTGGGGGCCGGCCCGGTGGCGCACTGGATAGTGCGCCGCTTGGGAAGCGCGGTGGCGCTCCTACAATCTATTTATTTGGGGCTCTTTTTAAACTTTGTAATATAAAAATAATCATTCAGTCTGTATTCTTTTGTATCTGGCTTTTTCTACTCAGTATTGTCTTTAAAATTCATCCAAGTCATGTGAGCTGTTATTTGTTCATTTTCCTTATTCTATCTTATTCTGTTGTATGACTGTACCATAGTCTATCCATTCTGTCTTTTGTCATTTGGGTTGTATACATTTATTGGCAGTTACAAATAATGAATATTATTCTATATATATCTTGCAGCATGTAAGCCCATTTTTCTTTAAGAAGTATAGCTAAGAGTGTAATTCCATGTTACAAGTTATGGTATTCTTTTATCTTTACTGATTGTGCTGACTTATATTACCACAAGCAGTACATTATACTTCCCTTTGTCATTGTCCTTGACAACATTGAAATTGTCAGATTTAAAAATTTTATCCATTCTGGTAGGTGTGATTTACTCTTAAAAAATGACCAACGTGGCTTTACTGTGAAGAGAATATGCTATAAAAAGGCAAGAGTGGATTCGGGAAAGACACTAAACATCATTTGTCATCAGAGAAATACAAGACAAAATGAGATACCACTTCATACCTACTAGAATAGCTGTAATCAAAAAGGCAGATATCAAGTTTTGGCGAAGATGTGGAGAAATCGGAACCCTCATACACTGCTGGTGGGAATGTAAAATGGTGCAACTGCTTTGGAATGTAGTTTGGTAGTTCTTCAGAATGTTAGCTCAGAGCTGTCATATGACCCAACAATTTCGTTCCTAGGTATCTACCCAAGAAAAATCAACATACATCCACCCCAAAACTTGTGTACAAATGTTCATTGTAGCACTATTCATAATAGTCAAAAGATGGAAAAAACCCAGTGTCCATCAACTGATGAATGGATGAATAAAATGTGGCATATCCATACAGTGGAATAATATTAAGTGATAAATATTAAGTTGACCGATACATGCTACAACATGGATGAACCTTGGAGACATTTTAAGATTAAAATTAAGACAGTCACAAGAGACCACAGATTGTATGATCCCATTTATACAAAATGTCCAGAGTACACAAATCCATAGAGACAGAAAGTAGATTAGTGCTTTCCAGGGGCTGGGAGAAGTGTGAGAATGGGGGTGACTCCTGATGGGCATAGGGTTTGTTTTTGAAGTGATTTTAAAATGTCTAATGTTAGATTTCAGAGAGGATTGTACAATACATACCAGAGATGGTGCATAAACTATAATTGAATTGTATACTTACCATGGTGAGTTGTATAATATGTGAATTATTGTGTGTGTATAGTATATGTTTATAAAAATGGAATGGCAAACAGAGATATTTTGTTTGCTAAACCATATGCTGCAATTTTTATGCCACGTAATGTAACCAATCATAATAAGTTTTGTTAAAGAGTTTGCAAAACTACAACAAGAACAAAAAAAGTGCAAGCTGGGAGACCAGTTAGGAATGTGTAAGAGTAGTTCAGGCAAGAGATGATGGTGCTTGGATTAGGAAGGTAGTGCTGGAAATGGTGAGAATTCTCAACTGGAGGTATACTTGGAAGGTAGAGCATGGTAGAACTTACTGATGGATTGGATGTCATATGTAAGAGAAATAGACAAATGAAGCATGAGTGTCTAAATCTGCTAAAGTGATAAACAGACATTTCTTGTAGGAACCTTCTCTTTCTTAAAATCCTTAATAGGTGTGACAAAATTCCTATTTGTTATTCTTCAAAGAATCACTCTCTTCCCTTTTAGCTATTGTTGCCCCTGCTGAAGGGGAAGCAGGTAGAGAATGAGTGGCCTGTTCACTTTTTATTTATTTAATTTTAAAAATGTTTAGGGCAGTGTTCAAGGCATGCATCTGCTAGGTTAGTTTGTTCTTCTAAATTGGTACTATTAATGGATATCACCCTGAAATAGGTTGTTTATATTCATGATGTAGCATAAAGTTATTAAGATACTTCGAAGCAAGTATGAAACTTTAAAAATTTTTATTAAATGTGCACTTCATTCTTTTCCTCTGTAGTTCGTTCTATTGGCTCTATTGCACTCAGAAAAGCAGAAGACATTGACTTCAAGTACCACTTTGACTTCTTTAGTGTGAACTTTAATGAAGAACTGGTGGCACTGTATGGTGGTAGTCTTCAGAAACAGACCAAGTTTGTACATGAATGCATTAAAACAATTCTCAAACTTTATAAGGTAAGAGAAAAGCATGCAAATCGATAACGATGCAGCCTATCAGCATCTTTTTTTTTTTAAGGGACTCAATATATTTTAAATTGTATATTTGTTTATATGGAAGTTAAAGCAAAGATGGTATAAAGTTTTTTCTTGCGAGAGTCTTGTCTGGAACTCACTGGTAGTTTTAAAGTTTAAATTGAATTTATAAGAAACCTAGCTTGTGGTGAATTCAGGAAAAAAATAATTGGCTTTACATATAAATTAGGAGTGCAGTGCATTTTCCAAAAAAACACTGGAATAGATTTCTGCTTCTAGCCACGACTAAGTAACTGGTAATAGAGTAGACCTCCTATGTATGTAAACAACTGTAAAACTGGTGGAGATATTTGAAGCACTTGTTTTGAGATGTTGGACAACCAGGCAGCAAAGGATTATGATCACTGAAAGAAGCTAGCTCTATGATTGCCCTAGCTTTCTGACTGGAAGCATTTTCCTGACCATGAGGCAGGTAGATGGAGATCAAGCAATGCACAAACATTGATATCACTGAGCTGAAGGAGGAAGAGAATTGGAATTTGGGGCTGCTCATATGGCTAGTTGGGGCAGCGTGTGAGAAAGAAGAGAATAAGGCAGAGAAAGAGCTCTAAAAATTTGCATTTTTTGATCTTTGAATGCCATGCTGCATATACTCAGGACAGGAAGCTACATAGTAGTGGCATACCAAGGAGGAAATGGTGGGCTGTGTCCATCTCAGCTGTAAGAAATAAGAGAGAATGTGTGTCTTTAGAGACATTTACAAGAGCAGCAAAACAGGCTAGAAATCATTCTGTGCAAGCAAGCAATTTTAAACAATGTCAGAGATAAAATACAATTAGCTACTTGGGTAAACCACTTCCTCCCTTGCATGCCACTGTGCAAATCCTGGATAAAACAGCTACTGGGGAACTGCAAACTAAGTTGATATGTCAGAGGTCACATGGTAGTGGGAAATAGGGGTTCTGACTAGTAGGACCTATCTGAACACACAGTAACCGTTCAATTGAGACCCCAGAATGGACATAATTTAGGAATAAGACTACTCTAACCCTAAAGTAAGAGCTACTCTTGTATCTACCTTAACAGTGCTTAAATATAAAATAAGCCTCAAAAATATCAGAGTTAAGGATTTAAAGTGAAAGATGCACATAGCAAAGAAACAAATGGGACATCTCAGCAGAGACATAGAAACTATAAACAAAGCATAAAGGAAAATTTAGAATTGAAACAATACATACCAGAAATGAAAAATTTACTAGATAGGCTTAAACAAGATTGAACACGATAGAAGAAGAGATCACTGGATTTGAAGACAGGACAATAAAAACTATACAAACTGAAGCACACATGATAAAAGGATGAAAAGGACAGAGCCTCGGGAATCTGTGGGGCAGTAATGAAGAGTCTAACAAACAATCAGAACCTCAGAAGAAGAGGAGAGAGAAATAGGGGAGGAAAACATATTCAAAGAATTAATTTCCCCAAATATTACAATTTTGATTAAAAGATTTCAACCCGTGATTCAAGAAGTTCAGTGAATTTGCCCCAAATTTTCCAATTTTGCCCCAAATTTGCACCCAAATTTCAAGTTTGCCCCAAATTTTCCAGTTTTCAGTTTGCCCAAATTTCAGTTTGCCCCAAATTTTCCAATTTTGATTAAAAAATTTCAATCAATGATTCAAGAAGGTCAGTGAATATCAAACAGGATAAACACAAGAAAATTACAGTTAAGTATATCATAGTCAGATTGCTGAAAACCAAAGTAAAGAAAAAAATCTTAAAAGCAGCTAGAGAAAAACCATTTACTTACAGGGAAAAGCAAAAATTACCACCGATTTCTTATCAGAAATAATGAAAGCCAAAAACAATAGAATAAAGCTCTGTGAGTGGGGGACTCTCAACCTAAATTTGCATATCCAGCAAAAATGTCTTTCAAAAATGAGGGCAAAATAAAGACATTGTCAGAGTAACAAAAACTGGTATTTTTGCCACCAGTAGAAAGAGGGAAATTGAAAATTACTATAATTTCAATTATAATTACTACAACAATCATGGTAATTGTTGCAGACAATAGATGCTAAAATTAGTGGGTGAAAGTTTGAGGAGATAAAGGATCTTCACACAGTCTCAAAATATCATTTCCAAGATATTTATTAACTACAATAGAAAGAATAACTTTACAATGGAGAAACCTGGTAGATACCATCCTAACCAAGGTTAACATTACCAATAGTATGATATATTGATATCATGAACCCCCTTGATATGATACACTGAGTGGGACAAAACATCATTTCAGTGGTATTATTGCCAGAAATGCACAACCTCATTCTAATCATGCAGAAACTTTAGACACACCCAAATTGAGAGAAATAATACAAAATGACTGACCTGTACTCTCCAATAGTAACAAGGTCATAAAAATGAGGAAAGTCTTAAAACTGTCACAGATCAGAGGAGACTAAGGAGAAATAACAATAAATGCAAGGTGGGATGCTGGATGGAATACTGTAAAGAAAAAGTACTTTAGTGGAAAAAATGGGTGAAATTTAAATTTCTTCTGTTGTTTAGTTAATACAATTATACAATGTTAAGTTTCCGATTTTGGTAATTGAGTGTGGTTAGGTAAAATGTTAACATCAGGAGAAGTTAAGTAAGGAATATTTGAGAACTCTCGGCTGTTTTTGCAATTTTTCTTAATTGGTTCACAATAAAAAAAGTAAAAAGAATAGTAATTCTTTGCAGCAAAAAATGCATTATGATGCTTATAACTTACTTAGAAGAAAAATATTTGATGATAATGTTGAAAAGGAGAGGAGTAGGAGTAGATAGAATTACTTCACTGCAAGATTCTTCTATGAAGTGGTGTAGTACTAATTCATGGTAGACTAATGAGTTAAGGTTACATATTATAATTTCTACAGTAACAAAAAAAGAGATATAGCTAATGAGCAAATGGAAGAAATGTAATGAAACATAAAAATACTCAATCCAACATCATACTCAGTGGTAAAAAATTGAAAGCTTTTCTGTAAGGTCAGAAACAAGGCAAAAATGGCCACTCTCTTCACTTGTAACCAACATAGTACTAGAAGTCCTAGCCAGAGCAAGTAGACAAGAAAAAGAAATGAGAGACAACCAAATTGGAAAGGAACAAGTAAAATTGTCCCTGTTTACAGATTACTTGATCTTATATTTAGAAAACTCTTGTATTAGTCCATTTCTTATTGCTTATAACAAAATGCTTGGAATTGAGTGATTTATAAAGAAAAAATTTACTGCTTACAATTTCAGAGGCTAGGAAGTCCAAAGTCTAGGGAACACATCTGGTGAGTCTTTTTTGGTGGTGGTTTTACAGTGATGCACGGGTCTCACATGGTAGAAAACAGCGAGAGGAAGAGACCGACCTCCTCATTCACTCTTCTTTTGAAGCCTTCAGAACTATGCCGCTCATCACGATTATTCATCTGTTCACTACAGCATGGTCCTACAATCAAATCACCTCTTCAAGGCCCCACCTTTCAATTACCGTAATAGTATTCCCCACCCTGAATATTTACAGTGGGGATTAAGCCTCAGTGAGGTTGGAGAGGCATCTAATCTACAGCAATTCTAAAGGCACCACAAAAAATACTGTTAGAACTAATAAGCAAAGTCAGTGAATTGCAAGATACAAAATCAACATACAAAAATCAGTTAAGTTTTTATACACCAATAAAGAACTATCTGGAAAAGAAATTAGGAAAATATTCCCATTTACAATAGATCAAAAATATTAAAATACTTTGGAATAAACCTAAGAAGGTGAAAGACTCATATACTGAAAACTATAAAACATTGATGAAAGAAATTAAAGATACTAACAAAAAGACACCCCATGTTCATAGATTGGAAGACTTTATATTGTGAAAATGTCCATAATACCCAAAGTGATCTACAGGTTCAATGCAATCCCTATTAAAATCCCAATGGCATTTTTTACAGAAGTTAAAAAAAAAAAATTCTAAAATTCACATGGAATCCCAAAGGACCTCGAATAGCCAAAACAATCTTGAGAAAGAACTAGTCTGGAGGCATCACATTTCCTGATTTCAAAATATATTATAAAGCTACCATAATTAAGACAGTATGACTGTTTGACATAAAGGCAGACATAGACCAATGGAACAGATTAGAGAGCCCAGAAATAAGTCCATGCATATATGGTCAACTGATCTTCAACAAGGTTGCCAGGAGTATATGGTAGGGAAAGGATAGTCTCTTCAATAAACAGTGTTGGGAAAACTGGATATTCACATGCAAAAGAGTGAAACTGGACCCTTATCTCACACAAAAATAAACTCAAAGGGATTAAAAACTTAAACATAAGACCTGAAACTGTACAACTTTTAGAAGAAAACACAGGAGAAAAGCTTCAGGACATTGGTCCTGGCAGTGATTTCATGGATATGACACCAAAAGCACAGGCAACAAAAGCAAAATTAAAGAAGTAAGACTACATCAAACTAAAAAGCTTCTCTACTGTAAAGGAAACAGTCAACAGAGTGAAAAGGCAGTCTGTGGAATGGGAGAAAATATTTCCAAACTGTAAATCTGATAAGGGGTTAATATCCAAAACATATTTAAGGGACAAAAACAATTCAATAGCAAAAAACCCTACTTACCTGATTTAAAAAATGGGCTAAGGGCTTGAAAAGACATTTCTTCAAAGAAGACATCTAAATAAGTGGTCAACAGGTATATGAAAAAAGGCTCAGTATCACTAATTATCAGGGAAATGCAAATCAAAAGCACAATGAGGTATCACCTCACACCTGCTAGGATGGCTATTATAAAAAAAAAAAAAAGACAAGTGTTGGTGAGGATGTGGAGAAATTGGAACCCTTGTACGCTGTTGGAATGCAGAATGGTGCAGCAGCTATGAAAAACAGTGTGGAAGTTCCTAAAAAAATTGAAAATAAAACTACTATATGATCCACCAA